ATTCTGCCATTTGTGTTATCTTGCTTCACCTCTCCTTCGTTCAATCAAGGAAAGTATTGATTATCTTGCTTCTTGCTTTGGATATTCCGATTTTTAGGTTTGGGTTTTTGAAATGCATATAGGTTGTTTTAAAGATTTAAAGATTGAAATGCATATAAGGTTTGTGAAGTTCCTTTTGACCAACTGGGTACTGGCGGGTAGGGATTAACCTCAACTAGGTACTGGCGATTAGGGAGAAAACTAGAGGTATTTAGGAATATTGCTTGAAGAAAGATATGAAAGTCTAATGAGGAAAATGGGGCATCGATATGGACACTCCAGACTGAAAAAAAAAGAAAAAAAAAAGGAAGTCTGATGAGGAAAATGAGGCATCGGGATGGACACTCCAGACCGAAAAAAAAAGAAAAAAAAGAAAAAAAAAAAGAATTAGAAGTCTGATGAGGACAGAAACCTGTATAAATGAGTGAATGTGGGTGGAAGGGAATACAGGAGGTAAATAAATAATAAAATGTATGATGGTATGGAGTAGATTGTGATTAAGAGTTATGTTAATGGAGTTATATAGAAGGTGATTAGAGGAACTGATCCTTATCTTTCTCTTATGTTTTCTTTTGCATTTGTAGTGTGTGAGTGGCCTTGTTGGCCGTGGTGAATTGCTCAAATAGACTAATGATGTAACGCCCCGCGGTCCAAATGGTTAAGACGTTACTACATCCTGTCTCTACCTTTTGATATTGTATCTCCGAAATGCAATCATTCAACATAAGGTAATCAAAATCTCATTCTTATGTGCACATCAAAACATGACCTCATTTACATTTATACTGTAATGCCCCATACTAATTTAGATGAGGTGTCAATGCAACCTGTCATATTAATCAATTTTATAACATCACTTCTCAACATAAAGTAACCAGAATTCATTTCCAATATATGTCTAACATAAATTCATCAAATTCCTTCAGTACTTCTATGCATACTATTGGTGTATTATATACTAATTTGACTTGAAATAAAGTACTCTTGTGTTATAATATGGGGTTAATTTTCTGCCTAATCTCCTTCGAAACCCTCTGCCTTCTCTAAGTGTTGGGATCTGCCAATGGTGATTCTTGCTCCGATTCCTACTTCACTGTATCTGTAAATAAACATATAATGAGCCTACACATACCCAGTAAATCAAATTTAGAATTCAAAACAATGTATTTAAATCAGTATAATTCCTAGACCATAATCCTCCTCAAGACCTCCATATTTTTACAGAATCATTCTTACCCTTTCTCACTCAAACAGCCCAGTGCCTTTCTCTGTGATGCTTGTGGAACATTGCAGAATCTCTCTCTGCGCTCTCCCACTCATAACAGTCACTGACCTTTCTTTCTGCTAGGTTTCCAAAACTTCACCACCAGGATCTTCCTTACAGTTCAACCCACATGCACCTTAGCACTTCCCAACACCTAACCTCTACATTTCCTACCGCTTGTCTACCCAGACCGACTCCTTGATAGATAGGAGTTGTCTCCATTTTCCGTCAACATAGTATTCTCTCAATACAGCAAGTTAAATCCCTCACCCTATCCCAATTTGCTCCAATATTCAGCAGCCATATGGCACTTTTGGTATTTCAGAACCCTCACACCCTTCCTAGACCTAAGCCATTCCTTTTACAACAATATGCCCAAACATCAATTTTCCCTTCTCATCTGTAAACCCATGCTCAGTTGGCTCATAAACTGCAGATAAATTGTCAGACAAGGCAATAATGTTGAATATCATCCATAACATATTGCATTAGACATACTAACCTTCTGGTGATCCCCTTCCCACCTTACGTTACTACTCAATCAGATGTCATTATGAAATCATAACATAATGCAAAATAAATGACCCTGACCTGGCTACTCACACTAATTTTATTAACACATGCAACATGTATATCAGGTGTCACCATAGCAAATATCAGCTAACATATAATGCATTTATTTATCAAGCATATCCTGACCACCATTCGACCACACACTCCCACGTAGTCATCCTGCACACCAGAAACAACCAACAAATTATTCAGGATCTATTTTCCCTAGCTTATAGTTAGTTCCCCTACATGCCTGATCAAATTTCCCTTATAGTTAGTTCCCCTACATGCCTGATCAAATTTCCTCACACTAAACTCTTATACATTCTATCTATTTGCTATCTCTCTTCATCAATTTTCCTCTATTTGGGTCCAATGGTTTTCTGTTTTGTTTTACCTATTTCTCCTACTTAATTTCTGTATAAGGAGAGCATATTTGTGTTCTCTCTCATCTCTATGTTGGATCTAGCCCTGCTATTTCTTTTTTTCCCCAATTTCTCCAGATCATAACCTATTCGTTCTCTTCCTTCTCCACTTCTCAGTATTCGTTCATGCTCTCTCTTCACCCGACTATTTTATTCAATTCTTCTAACTCAACCCCTTCAAATCTGGTCATTTTTAAATTATATTCAGCTGATGACCAAATTCGATTTAACTAGCATTACTCTCACCTTCTACAGTCTCCACTCATTCAGTATTTACTCACAGCTTCCCTATTTCATAATAATCATTGTGTAAATGTATGTAAATAAATCATATGATGCACGATTCATGTAAGGCATGGAGTGTCTTTTAAGATTTTACTTATAGTTTAATCTAGTGTTAAACTTTTTATTAGAATTAAGATTTTATATATAAGTATTATAAATACTTTTTACAATGCCATTTTTGAGATCAAGCATGGTGAACAAATTGTTTATTTTGATAGTGTGATGTTTAAGAAACTCTTTCGTAGATATGATCTATGAGAAATACTGGGTGTAATTTGTAGGTTTATCCTAAATTTATTAAATAGGTAAATTAACCTTAATTCATTCTATTTATATCTAAAGGGTGTTCTATGAGAAAATGAAAGCCAGTTATTCAGAGAGATTGTTTGAGAAAGAAAAAAATAAGAAGCTAATGGGGATTTGGCAAAGGACAAAGCTCTGATACTCAACTGTTTGCTCATTACCTTTGTTTTTAGTGTTTGGACACTATTCAAGAGAGGCCTTGAGATTTTTCATGGATTTTGTCTTAATTAGAAAATGGGTATGAAACTTTTATTAGTCTATATAAGAGAAGGACCTCTCCATTAAGTTGCATATCATATGCCTACAAGTTTGGTGATGAATCTTACATAATTATTGGTAAGATATTATATGTTATTTTTTGGTAATCATGTTATTCTAATGGCTGTACATGCATGTGAACTACGACTAGAAAGAGAGAATGTTATTTTATAGTGCCTTTTAGAATTACATTTCTTCTTCATTCTGTGTAAATTTTTTTATTAAGGATACATTTGTAGAAACTTATTCTTTTTTTTTATTGTTTCATACAGTAAAATTCTCCTTCTCTTTGGTATTGTTTTTGTTTCCCCATAAGGTAAAAAAGATGGATCTTATGAAATATGTAGCTATTTTAGTGAGGTACTTTATCATGCTGCTTGTATTTTTATTCATAGAAGGAGAAAGTTTCGGCTTACTCATGAATTACGACTAGAGATAGAAAGTTCAAGATAAATTTATGAAAAATTTGATCTCAATTGAGTTTTATTGGCACATCATTAAGATAAGAGCTTCAACTTTTATGAATTTGTATTGTTCACTAGTTATAGATGGTGGACTTAGGTCCACCGTTCGTGTAACTGTAAAGGAACAAGATACTAAGACACTTTACTTATTAGGATATAATAAGAGAAATCGAGTCCTATCTTGGCATTTTCGACAATCTAGAGAGATGATAGTCGCCATTTCCATAATGTGCTAAGATGTATAGTGGAAATGACAGATAAATTTCTTAATAAGCTAGATGGATCACAAGTGCCTTCAGAAATAGCCAAAAATCCTAAATTCTTTCCATTTTTAAGGTAAATATATAAGTTATTTAATTTATAATTATTTTTTATAACGTACAAGTTTAATTAAATTTTTTAAAAAAGTATAAGTTTAATTAATTAATGAATAATTAATTTCAATATTGTGTTGGTGCGACAAATAGAATACATATATGTGTGAAAGTGTCTAACTCTAAGGTTTCGTGGGAGAAAAGATTTCCCTACACAGAATGTATTGACAGCTTGTACATTTGATTTGAAATTTTTATATGTCCTAGCTGGGTGGGAGGGGACTGCATCAGATTCAAAAATATTAAAATATGCATTAAATAGACTTGAGGATCTTTTTTAGTAATTTCCGAAGGTAATTAAAATATATTAAATTTCAATATGTAATGTATAAGTTTGAAGAAAAAGTTATAATTCAATTTATTCATTGTTTATAAGTGAGTTCAACTTGTGGATGCTAGTTTCATATTGCAGGGTGGAATAATTACTCCATATAGGGGAGAACATTACCATTTGAGTGAATACATAAATAATCCACCACACAATGCTCGTGAGCTATTTAATCTTCATTATGGTTCTTTACGTAATATGATTGAACATGCCTTTGGAGTTCTTAAGAAATATTTTCTAATTATTTCAAGTCCTACTGAACCTAATTATCGACTCAAGGCTCTTAATTACATTATATTTACTTGTTGCATTTTGGACAACTATTTACGGGGAAAAAATCCAAATTATTAACTTCTTGCAAAGGTTAATGAAGAATAATGAAGAACTTCTAAACGTTTCTCCTTATGAACAAAATCCATATAAGATTATAGATAATATTGAAGAAACAAGAAGAGGAAAAGCTATTAGAGATCATATAGCAACTAATATGTGGGTTCTGTACAATGTTTGATTACATTTTGAATTAATTGTGTTGTTTATGATATTTGTCTGGTTTATAACTTGTGTGTAACATTAATGTTTTAATTGAACATTATAATTTAGAATTTATTTTGTTGTAATCACATTATATTTTGTTGCCTATTGTTCTTGAAAATGATTATATTTATTGGTGTTGTGCTGTGTTTTAAAAAATGGTAAAGAGGAACAGATCTGCAGATGGAGCAACACTGTCCATTGGACAGATTCTATGGATGATGTACTAGTAGATGCTTTTTACAATTAACATTTGTTGGGATATTCACCACACAAGCTATTGATTATATCATAACAGAACTAAGGAATGCATTTTCAAACAGGACCCTTGATAAAGAGCGAATCGACAATTACATTAAAAATTTAAAAAGATAATTCTCCAAATAATATGAAATTTTCAAACATGGATTAAGTGGTTTTGCTTAAAATCTGACAACTAAAAGATTTGCGGAAAAGGAGGTATGGCAGCAACTAATAGAGGTAAATCATCTAGTCTATCACATGTTGTTTGTAATATTTTATACAGTTTAAATATTAATATAATAATTCATCTTAGGTTCAACCCGAAGCAGTTGAATTGAAGAACAAACGTGTACAAAATTACGATAAAATGTTGAAAATGTATAGAAGGGATAGAGTTGATGGGGCTGGTTGTGAAACAGCACGTACCGATCAAGGATAACTGAAGATGAGTGACAATGAACATGAAATGAGCACTAAGGAGATTGACCAACAACTTATCCAAAATTTAGGTGGCAATTTCAATTTTAAGGGTGTGGATACAATGAATGATGCTTTAACGCCCAAAATGCCTACTTCACAACCCCAACATGAATCACAAAGTTCTTACAGGCATAAGAAATCAAAATGTTTGTCTACTATCCCAGAGGAAAATTAGCTGGCTCAGCAAGTTAGACTGGTTGTAGATGCAATCGAGAAAATAGCAACAAGCACGTAAGTTTCTCTTACAGCAAGCCATCTGTATGAAGATGTAGCTCATTTTAGTTTTGATCCACATCAAGCCATCTTGTATGAAGATGTAGCAAACCAAACATGGCTGATGCTTTCATGAATTGCCCTCTTGAATGGCGTAGTTTTTTCATAAGCAATTTACTTCATTCATTAGATAAATGACTTATATTAATTTCAATTTTGAAAATTAAAACTTGTTAATTTATAATCTTTAATTTTTTAATTTCTTTGCATTTTCAGATAATTAGAAATGAGAGTTGTTGTTGCTGAAGTGCAAGACTCTAGTATGGACTTAGGAAATTTAGCAAACCTATGTTGGATGTTTAATCTATAATTAGGAAAATTGATGAATCTTATTATTTTGATGGACTAATTTTTCGTTCTAAAGTGATTAATTTATGTTTAGTTTGTAATTGAAGTGATTAATTGATGTTATATTTTCAAAATTCTTATATTTATGTGACTATCTATTTTTTTAAAAAAAAATTGATCTGAGTGCATTTTAATATAAGTATGATTGAAATAGGTAAGTTGATTGAGTATATATGATTATTAAACATTATCAAAATTAAAAATTGATCTTAGTAAAATTTATTTATTTATTTTATTTAAGTTATAGAAATGATAATAATAAATATTATGCAAAGATAATTTTTAGTTTTTTTATTTATAATTAATTATAAACAAAAAATTTTATTTGAAAGTAATTTTTTATATTCACTATCAAAAAATTAAATTTTTATTCCTCATAATTTTTTTTTGCTATTTTAAGAAACAATTCATTAAAAATTATAGTTTAAATAATTTTATAAGTTAAATGATTGAATTACAAGTTAAATAAATTATTATTTTTATTTAATATTACATACAATAAGATATGGACAAAATAGTAATTTAACTGAATATACAACTATAACATCTCATCAATATGAACAAAACACATATTATTACCATACATTAATGCACAACTTCAAACATGATATAACTTTATTATTACTATATTATGTCATTATTATACAATACCATACATTAATGAACTAGCATAAAATTCATTCAAACAAAGCATAAGTGTTAATAAAGTTGTTACACTATATAACAAATATATGGTGTACTATTAATTAGATATATTAGTTTATCAATTAATTTTCTGTAACCTGTTAAATTAACATAAGGTGAATGATCTTGATGGGTTAGTCTAATGGAGGAAACCATTGGTGTAGGGGCAAACTTATATCCCAAAAATCTAGTTTTTTGTAATAGATCAATGGTGTATTTACATTTTAATATATTGCTGAGAGTGAGCTATCTCTAAATTTAAAAAAGATTTTAATGTATTCAGATATTTTATCTTGAATTTGTGATGTAAAAAGTCTTTGATTTCTTATACTTGAGACGTGTTATTGCTGGCAATAAAACATCATCAACGTAAATAAGAAGGACAATGAAATAATCTTTACTAGATTTCAGAAATAGAAAAGAATATGAGTTAGATTGAACAAAACTTTGGTCTTTCAGTGCATATATTATTTTGAAGTTCTATTGTTGGTTGTCCTATTTCAAACTGTATAGGTTTTTAATTAACCTGCATTTTTGGTTAGAAAATAATCGTTTTGATAATATTTTAAAAGAATAAGTAAGAATTAACTGAGATACAACAAGAAATTTCGAAGAGAGATTTGATTTCTTGAGTTATAAGAAAAAAATTATGAAGAGTCCATAGGGAGAGTAAAGTAAACCAAAGAAGAGGGAGTCCTCTCCACTTGAGAAAAACAAAATGAAAATTCTCTCATTAATTATTTCCCAGTATTTGTATACAGAGAATCAATGAGCTTAATTAACAATTAATTTGGTAATTACAAAACAATTAATCAGTTAGTTTATTTAACTGATCTATTAACTATAGTTAGATTCCAATTTTAATTTGCTAACTATGGTTGACTCTAACACAAAACAATAAAAAGTGAAAGGAGCATAATAATGATTTTTTAAAACAGTTGGTTATTTCTCTTATCTTTCTTGTTTATTTCTCTTTCATTATAAAGATTTTTGGCTTTTTTTCTCTTGATTTGCTTTCCTATCAGTTTTCTCCTCATTTTGTTCTTGAGTCTTCTCATCAATAGTTCAGTTCTCTCCATTAAAACCAACAAATCCTCATTTGCCACTGAAAATTTGTAAGATGTGTGTATTGGTTTCATCAACTGTTATATTTACGTTCAAATTAAGATGTTCCCGGTATTTCAGTCCCTTCTATCAGAGGTCTCAAAGTCTTACCAGACAATATCAATAACCAAGCAATTGCATGCTTTAATTGCGAAAACTCAACTGTCTTCTGACCCATTTTACGTCACTAAAATCCTCAGATTCTACGCGCTCAATCATCAACTTTGCTCTGCCCGTAACTTGTTCGATACAACTCCTCACAGAAGCGTTTTCCTTTGGAATTCCATTATTCGGGCTTATGCACAGGCGTATAAATTTGATGATGCAATAACGCTCTTCTTACAGATGCTTAGAACAGTAACCAAACCCGATAATTTCACATACGCTTGTGTTATACGAGCGTGCTCTGAGAATTTTGATCTAGATGTGCTCAGGATTGTTCACGGGGGAGCAATAATTTCTAGGTTCGGTTTGGATTCGATTTGTGGGAGTGCACTTGTAACAGCTTATTCAAAGTTAGGCCTTGTTGGTGAAGCAAGCAAGATTTTTAATGGTATACCAGAACCAGATTTGGTTTTATGGAATTCCATGATATCTGGTTATGGGTATTGCGGACTTTGGGATAAAGGGTTGTTGTTCTTCAATTGGCTGCGAGGAGTGGGAATTAAGCCAGATGGGTATACTTTGATAGGGTTAATCATGGGTTTGACGGATAACAGCTTGCTGAATGTTGGCCATGGTGTTCATGGGTTTTGTGTGAAAAATAATTTTGATTCCAACCCTCATATTGGTAGTGCACTTGTTAGCATGTATTCAAGATGTAAGTGCATGGATTCAGCATATATTGTTTTTAGTAGTATATTTCAGCCTGACTTAGTTACATGGTCTGCTTTGGTAACTGGATATCTTCAGTGCGGACAAAATGAGAAGGTGCTGCTCTTTTTCAAGAAGCTGAATATGAATGGCAAAAAAGCAGATTCCATCTTGATTGCCAGTGTGTTGGCAGCGTCTGCTCAGTTTGCAAATATAAGGCCTGCAAAGGAGATACATGGTTATGTTCTTCGACAAGGATTAGAATCAAATATATTGGTTTCTTCTGCTTTGGTAAATACATATTCGAAGTGTGGTTTTGTGGGTTTAGCAATTCATGTTTTTAAGATTATGCCAAACAGGACTACAATTTCTTACAATTCTATAATTTTGGGTCTAAGTTTGCATGGGCTTGCCTCCCAGGCATTTGGAATATTTAGTGAGATGCTGGAGATGGGAGTAAGACCAGATGAATCAACTTTCTCTGCCCTCCTTTCTGCTTGTTGTCATGCTGGGCTTGTTCATGATGGTCGTGAAGTGTTCAGAAGGATGATAGAAGAATTTTACATCCAAGCTAGATCGGAGCATTATGTTCACATGGTAAAGCTGCTTGGAATGGCTGGAGAGTTGGAACAGGCGTATGAATTTATTATATCCTTGCCAAAACCAGTGGATTCTGGCATCTGGGGAGCTCTATTATCATGCTGTGACTTTCATCAGAATACTGAGTTGGCTGAGCTTGTAGCCAAGCAGCTTTTTGAAAGTGAACCAAAAAAAGGTGCTTACAGAGTTATGCTTTCTAATATATATGCTGGTAGCGGGAAGTGGGATGAAGTGAAGAAGTTGAGGGATGGTATATCTGAAAATGGAGTTACAAAATTGCCAGGGCTTAGCTTGATTGAATGTGATGGCGGTTAATATATGAAATGATCAATCAATCATAGACCTGATTGTTCTCTGTGAAGGTAACTTTATCAAATGTTACTGTCCTGAATTTTTTTCCTTGTATGTCAATTTTATATGGACCACGTAAACTATAAACAGAAAACAGAAAACTGAAAACTAAGACATTGCTTTGTTCTCCAAAAACATCAAATTAATGCATAATTAAGTGACACTAGGTTTGATGAGATTCTTAAGGTCTGGAACCAACTGTAGATTTGAGTATAACTCCTAATTTGGTGTAGAGCCAAAATCTCGATCACATAATCCTGGTTCTTAAAATGCAACCTGAATTTTAGTCCATCTTAAGTATTCCCTTCCAGTTACAAGCTTTAGGAAGAAGATAGAATACGGTATAATGAGTTTATATCATAATATGAACTTGGGCATGTTATTAAGCATTAAAGGCTTTTATTTATTATCACGGATCTTTAAAAATAGCAGACTGTGCCAGGCAGGCCAAAACTTTATTGTGTTCATGTTGACATATCTAATGCGGACATGGGTTCAAAAGGTATTAAAAAAAGTGTGAAGAAGATATTACAAGGCCAACTGGTCCAATCACAAGATTTCAAGTCAAGAAACTAAAATAAACATTTCAAGAATTTGTACAAAGATGGATACAATAAGAATTTAGCACATGTGAACTATTTGAAGAATTAAAGAAGTTAAAGAAAATCATTAATTTCGTTCAAATGTGTTAGTAGAATTTAGAATGAATGTTTAGGATCATTTTGGTCATTTCCTAGATAATTGAATTATGTTCATATTTTCCTAAATCATTTAATATTATGTTTCTCTAGGTCATTTAATAATATGTTCCCCTAAGTTATTTAATACCATGTTTTCCTAAATCATTTAATATCATTTTTCCTTAAATCATTTAATACCATGTTTCCTTAGATTATTTAATACTATATTTTCCTACGTCATTTAAATTATGTTCATATTTTCCTAGATAATCTAATTATGATCTTTGGCAAAATGTAGGTGTTTTAGTTTATAAATATCTTCTTTGCAATTTAATATGACACACTTTGATTATTAAATAAATTTTATTGCATTTGGTAGAATTTTGACAAATAAGATTTTTTATTCTTCTTGTTGCATCAAGAATTGAATTAACTTATCAAGTTATCTTGTGATGTTTATTCATTCTTGCTTCTTTCATCTCAATCACTCAAGTTCTCAATTACAGATTAGTTGTGGATTTGGTAGGGAAGATTTGTTTAGAATTCTAAGTTATCTATGTTAAATATATATGTGGGGTTTTGGATGTAATCTTTGATCATCGGGTGGTTTCTGCATCAGTTTGGTATCAGAGCTTTGATCTTGGATAAATCTCTAGGTATTATTTGTGTGTGATTTATCTAACTTTATTTTTTTATTTTTATTTGTTTAGAGTGTTCAACTTTTATCTTTGTTATTCTTAATTTTGGTTACACTTTGTTTTTATTCTTCAATTCCGTGTTTTTTGTCTTTTCATATTTTGTTATTGTTAGTCGAATTTAAAAAAAAAAACAAAAGAAAAGTAAAAAAAAAAAAAAAGAAAATGAAAAAAAAAATATAAGAATCAGCTTCTACTGCAAAAGAGAAAAAGTGTGTTCATTGAACTTTCAATTCTATCCATCTTAATCAAAGCGCATCCACTTCACATATATTGCCTCACAATAATATAGTTTTTATTGTGTAGAGCGTAGCTTACATTGGGAATAGATTAGGTTTATATATATAGATTTCTTATTACGAATGATCTAAATTCTATTATCATTAGTTGGAAATCGTTTTCTTGCATTCTTAATTTTGTTTTTTCATATATCTCTTGTTTCCATTACATTAAAAGTAGCTTATTGCATTCTAGTTACATTAATTAATTTAAAGAAACGCACCCACCTTAATCCATGTGTTTAGATCTTGTTCTTGTTTATGTAATTTGCATTTAGTGTTAATTGTTTACCTTTTTCATTCATTAGGATTCATTGAAGTGTCACATAAACAACTATTTGTTTATCTTGATTGAGTTACTTTCAATTCTGAAGTACAACTTAAAGAAAAGAATAGAGTGGTAAAAGATTTGAGGGTGTAAGCGTAGAAGAGGATAAAAACAAAAATTCTAAGTAAAAACACGAGAGAAGTGAGAAATCTGTTCAAGAATGAAACATGTAAGGGAGTGTTGTGAGGAATTTTCTTTACTAACATTTTTTTTGCAGGTTTTACATCATGTCAAATTCTAAAAGTGAGAAACGTGAATTAATCATGAATGACATAGCTTTTATGTTAGAAACAAGGTAAAGACAGTTTGAGAAGCACAATAGGGATATAGACAACATGAAAGGTGATATAGATAGCCTTTGGGGCCGACATGGTGGTGTTAATCAAAGAAGACAAAGTAGGGGAAGAGGAAATATGCTAAATGATGACGAGATAGAAAGGGAAGTAGATGAAGATAGTGAAGAGTCAATGGTACAAAGAATACTCGAAAGGAGGGACAATAACATTAATTTTATCAAGATGAAGATTCTTTCTTTTTAAGGTAGAAATGATGCTAAAACTTATTTAAAATGGGGGCGAAATTGAGTTGATATTTGAATATCATAACTACTCCGAGAAGAAGGAGGTAAAGTTGGCAGCCGTTGAATTTACTAATTATACTTTGGTTTGGTGGAATCAATTACTCATCTCTAGGAGACATAATGGAGAGGCACCCATCACCACCTGAACTCAAATGAAAGTTATCATGAGAAAAAGGTTTGTTCTATCATTTTACTATAAAGAGCTCCATCAGAAATTGCAAAGCCTCGCTCAAGGGTCTAAATCAGTTGAAGATTATCACAAAGAAATTGAGATAGCTATGATTCGAGTAAATATTGAGAAGGATAGAGAAGCTACCATAGCACGATTTCTAAGTAGTTTGAATAGAGAAATAGCCGATATAGTTGAATTACATCACTATATTGAGTTGGAGGAGATGATTAATATGGACATTAAAGTAGAAAGACAATTGAAAAGTAAGGGAACAACAATGTCATATTTTGGTTATAACAGCAATTGGAATTCAAAGTGGCCTAAGAAGGAGGAGAAGACCAAGGAAAAGAGTTTTAGTTTCAAGGAGAAGGGTACAAATTTCAACAAAGGCAAAGATAAAGGTACCTCACCATCTATTAAAGGTACTTCTGATCCCATGTTTACTAATAAACATCGAAATATTAAATGTTTCAGATGTTTAGAAGTGGGACATATTGCTTCACAATGTCCAAATAAGAATGTCATGTTTATTAGGGATAATGGGGATGTTGAGTCTAAATTTGATTCTGATTATGATAATATGCCACCTATAGAAGATTGTGATGATGATGTTGAGTATACTGCTTGTAGAAAATCATTAGTTATTAGACGAGCTCTTAATATGCAAGTTAAGGAAGAAAGTTTAGAACAAAGGAAAAATTTGTTCCATACAAGATGCTTTGTAAGTGGAAAAGTTTGTGTTGTGATCACTGATGGAGGGAGTTGTACAAATGTGACTAGTACTACTTTGGTGGAGAAATTAAGTTTAAAATGTGAAAAGCACTCAAGACCCTACAAGCTGTAATGGTTGAATGATTGTGGAGAAGTGAAGATGATTAACAGGTTATAATTCCATTCTCCATTGGAAGATGTTGATGAAGTATTATGCGATGTTGTACCCATGCAAGCTGATCATTTGTTGTGAGGGCGACCTTGACAGTTTGATAGAAGAGCCATGCATGATGGGTACACAGATAGGTACTCACTTACTTTGAATGATAAAGATTTCATACTTGCGGCATTATCTCCTTCATAAGTGTATGAGGATCAAATGAAAATAATATAAGCTTCTAAAGAGAATTCGGGTAGTGAGAGAAGTAAAAGAAATGAGGAAAAAGAGATTGGAAAAGAAAAGAGAAAAAATAATAGCCCATTGGTGAGTGATTGCACTAGTGAGAAAAAGAAAGAGGGAAGCTCAAGAGAGAAAAGTATAATGAGAGAAGAAAAAAATAAAAACAAACTGGATGTGTATTCAAAGGAAAGAATTAAAGAGTGCTTATGCGAGTAAGAGAGCTTTGATAGTGCTTGGGTTTAAAGAAGTTTATTTCTCTAAAACTAACCTTAATCCAAATCTACCTAATATGTTTGTTTCTTTGTTGCAAATCTACCTAGTGTTATTTCTTTGTTGCAGGAGCTTGAAGATATGTTTTCTGATGATATGCCAAATAGTTTACCACCTCTAAGAGGTATTGAGCATCAAATTGATTTCATTACTGTTTCTGTAATTCCTAATAGACCAGCATATAGGAGTAATCCAGATAAAACAAAAGAGTTCCAAAGGCAAGTGGATGAACTCTTGGCAAAAGGTTATGTAAGGGAGAGCATGAGTCCATGTGCACTTCCTGTATTATTAGTTCTGAAAAAAGATGGATCATGGAGGATATGTGTTGATTGTTGTGCTGTCAATAAAATCATTGTAAAGTATCGCCATCCTATTTTTAGATTAGATGACATATTAGATGAATTGCATGGTGTATGTATTTTTACAAAGATGGATATGAAAAGTGGATATCACCCAAATTTGCATGAAACCAGGTGATGAATGGAAGACTGCATTCAAAACTAAATATGGTTTGTACGAGTTAATGGTTATGCCATTTGATTTAACTAATGCACCTAGTACATTTATAAGGTTAATGAATCATGTCTTGCGTGAATTTCTTAGAAAATTTGTTGTGGTTTATTTTGATGGTGTTTTTATTTATAGTAAGTCTTTGGATGATCATCTTGTGCATGTTAGAACTGTTCTAGAAGTTTTGAGAAAAGAATAATTGTTTGCTAATTTACAGAAGTGTACTTTTTGTCTTGATCAAGTTGTGTTTTTAGGGTTTATTGTTAGTGCAAAGGGAGTTGAGGTTGATAGTGACAAAGTGAAAGCTATATAAGAATGACCAACACCTAGGAGTGTGTCTGATGTGAGGAGTTTTCATGGGTTGGCTA